AAATGAGCCAAAGTAAAAGTCTGTTAATTTTGTGATAAAAATGTGTGAAATGTAAAACGGCCGAGTTTGTTTACATTCGAAAGTATGGCGAGAAGAACATATTTTTTTCGAAACGTAGAGAGACAAAATGGTCGATCTATTAAGGAATATATAGAACAACTCATATTCGGAGATTTGAAAACTTCACTTCAATTTTTACGCTGTTTTGGTCACGTGATTAAGAAATTCCGACTCGCTACGATTGAGGACGAACTAGAACTTTTACTACTAAATGCACTCAACGAATTTTGTGCTGAAACGTTAATCAAAGCAAAGTTAGACACTTATCGTGGTTCTTACGTTAATTGAACAGTGTTTTGTCACCGTTTTAATTTGTTGTGTAAAAAAACCCTTTTATTATTAATTTATAGCCACTCTGTAACGATAAATTGAAATTGGCCATTTATATAGGCTTCTCGCCGAATTTTTTATTTTTGGTTTCTTCAGGCTGAGTCATGACTTGAATAGAAAAAAAATAAGGAAGTTCATTTGATTTGCTCTGTTGTCGTGGGTCACAGCATGTGACTAGGCGACACTGACGACTGCAAACTGCGTGGTTTTGGAATGAAACTCGTCTGATTAAGAATCTACTAGGAGATTTGTTTGAGATTACGATCTAGGCAATGTCTAGACCAGGCAGTTTCTGGAACAGACTTGCTATTGGGATCCCATAGTGAGCCAGCATCGTTTAGAATTTCCATTGAAATTGAACAGCCAAATTCCCTTACGCAGTTAAGAATAGGGACATTCGAATGATATCTTTGTCAACATTTTCGGATCACTTTGTTTGCAGGACAGTTATGTCGCAGCGCCATCTATCCGAGCACAAAAATCTACAATCCATCCGAGCAAATAAAAAAACCAATTCGAGTTCAATATTGAATATAAAAATATTATTTATTCGTGACTGCTAGAAGTGACTACATCAGACTATTCTATTTAAAATAGAAAGCACACATTTATTTTGATCTTTTTGGACAGCAAAATTAATTTTGGTTGCATAAAATCACAAGCATTTGGCTGTTTTGCTCATGTTTCGTTGCGTCCAATGTTCTATTTCAATAGAAAGGTTGCTTTTTCAAACTAAAAAATTTCGCCTTTGCCAATAGGCTCCTCTAACACTTTTAAACCAACAATGAATCTTTCAGTTCGAACTTATCGTTTCTATTTTATAAAAACAAAAAAACATGCATAAATTAATGATATTTTTGGCCCAGATCGTCCATATTAACAAAGATATTCCCTTAAAAATACAAAGTATAGGCATTGGCAAGACCATACTTCTGGAATTGACAAAACCATAGTTCACATTCAGCACCATGTTCAATTGGATTGAGCCAATTTCTTAGAAAATTCCGTCAGATCCGGATACAAAGAGCCAGCCGGAGCATAGTTGGTTTCTGAAATGGGAAAAGAACGGTTTTTATTAGATTAAACAGTCTTGGGTTCCAATGTCCATTGATCATTGACCAATGATTGAAATTAGAACAAAAATCGATTGAAAATTGAATGAAAAACTCAGAATAAAAAATTCGATTGAATGAGTTCCAATCGGTGGGAATAGAAAGGTCACTCATAAAATGTCAATTTTTTAACTTAAGAAATTGCCAGACGTAATTTTGTAGGTACTCGATTGCAAAAAGAGCGGCTTGGAAATAGATCCCTAAGCGATGGACAATGTTCATTTGGAAAAAACAGTCAAAATGGATTGAAAGGTACAAATATTTTTGACCAAAAAACCTACTTGGAATCTGTGGTTTAAAATCGGCGATAATAGCTTTGCCGGTTCCCTTCATCGTTTTCTTGGCCAATCCTTTTGGTGTGATCAAACTCATGTTCTGTGACAAGTTAATCATATTTCCTACGGTGTCAAATGTGCCCTGTGCGAGATTTCCCGCTTGTGGACCATACTTATGTTCAACGATTTTGACTGAGTTTTCGCTCAGATTTTTTCCCAAAATTCCAGCTGATTTCTCAAGGCCATTGTAAACCGTTCCGAAGCCTTCAACAGCACCAGCAGCAACGGTCAGAACACCACTCATCTGAAAAATGAACATGTTTCAATGGAAATTTGTACTTAAAGGACATTTCAAATCGACATAGTAGTTTTTAGTGTCAAAAATGAGAAAAAAACAATCTCAATTCAATACAAACCTTATCTTTGGCGTCATCAGTGCTATAGCCCATGGATTTGGACAACAGCTTTGAACCTTGAGCATGCACGTGTGGAGCGAGAAACTTGCCGAGAGCCACAGTTGCACTGCCAACCTTCCCAGCTACATAACTCGTTACACCAACTGCAATTCCCGTGGCCGATTTGGCCATCTCGATCCCATTAACCACTTTGTTTGATATTGGTGGCGCATTCACTGGAGCACCATTCATTTTAGAAATCATATACGGCGTTGTATACGATACCAATTTGCCAAGTTGTTCCGTACCTTTGACCAGTCCATTTGATATGAAACAAGCACCTTGAACCGAGAAGCATATCGTGAATAAAAGATAAATCAAACCGAAGGAATCCGGACACAATCAAGTGAATCTATCTACCCACCTTGAACGATATTGTCTGAGATGCGCTCGCTTGCATAGCGTCGTTCTCGTTTCTTTTCACCTTCTTCACCCTCTTCTTCTTCCTCTTCTTCTATTTGTCGAACGATTCCATGTAAAATTGCCTCCAAAATCTCCAGAACAATTTCGTCGGCCGATTTTGGAACAACCAATCCAATAGCAGCACCTTGAACTTCGGACTGAATGTCGGGAAAAATGAAAGCACCATATTCAGTTCGGAAGCATGGCGAAACACCAGGTATCAACGGATAAATGAGCGATGAGTCGGTTGGCTTTGTTGGTATATTTTCACGGACTTTCTTCGCTGATGGCTTCTCATCAAAATCCTCATCATCTTCAATCGAATTGTCTAACTCGACCTCATCATCTTCCATACCGTCTTCGCGTTGAATTTCTTCGGCCGCAGACGACCGAATGATTTGCATAAAATAAGTAGCATCCAAATTCTGTGTGAGATCTTGATCCAAGCGAACAATTCGCAAAATTGACGCTTCATCAGCGGTGGTTACTTCACCATTCTCATTTATATGATACAATTTGACACCTTTGCACGAGAACAACAGCTCTAAAACACTGGGCAAATTTTTTGTGTCGGTGTAATCATATTCGAAACTTTGCAGCGCTTCAGCCAATTCCATGAATGTTCGTGGTCGTGTCGTTGCTCGATTGGAATCGGATGATGCTATTCCTTGGGCTCGTGGGCCCGATTCACTGGACGACGGAGATAGGATGGCTATACGATGCATCACTTCACCTCTCGTACGCTTCAGCACCTTTACAATTTTCAAACCCAAATGCCATGTTTCATCAACATCATCCGGATCATCGGGAAGTGCCACTGGTGTCGCTAGTGCCTCATCAATCAATGTTATTCCCAATTTATAGTTGATCAATGCCAATTCACGATTGCCTTCCTCCTCTTTCTGTTTGGCCAAATCCAACGTTTTTGTCACTTCATCTTGCTTTCGCTTTAGAATATCGTACGTTTCCTTCCATTCGAGTTCCATTTTTTTGGGAGGATTTTGATGAAGAATCACAGACTAACTGGAAATAAAAGAGATTTGCTTTACTTTTGAAATATGTTCGTTTTGGACAGTATTTTGGAATTTCAATAGCTATTGCCATTTAAAATGGTCCATTTTAAATTTCTCTTACGACTTTCAATTTTAAAATAAAAAAAAATTCAAACTTGAACAACGTTAACCCAATTTCGAGAAAATTTTCTTATTCAAACCGTAACAAAGACCGTGCGGTTTTTGATATACGTTTATTAACTTTGGAATAGCTGAAAAATGCACGTAAGGAAACGCTAGCCAAAAATTGTTGTCAACAATTCTGCTTTGAATAAAATCGGACGATTTATAGCGGTCAATCGACAGTTAAGACACGTTGTTTTGACTGCGATGAACGGATATTAAAAAAAGGTTATCATTAGATCAAAGTGTTTGATATACAATGAGCATGGTCAATTTTTGAGCGAAAAACAGGTTTTTTTCTTTTATTTTACAGTTCAACACGTTGCAAATTTTAACTTTTCTTCTACTGACACTGAATTTTTTTTTTTTGATTTCAAACAAATAATGCGTTAAATGCTTCTTTTGAAAAGACGTAAAAAGAGGGAAGAAAGAAGAAACAAATAAAATGAGTCTTGAAAAAAATTATCTTGGAAAAAAAATCGCGAAAAAAGTGAATTTGAACAAAAAAACTGTCATTTTCGTTCATTTTGTGCTATGTCAACGCATTCAAAGTACCGACAATTTCATAATTCAACCGCATATTTCGTATTGTTTACATTTTAAAATGGGCAACACGTCACGTTGCTTAAAGCATAAACCAAAAGTTGCTTCACATCGTACAGAGTTCATTTTAATTTGAAAAAATCTAAATTAATTACACTGAGTAATCAACAATAAACTACAAAATCCGCAAATAAGCAAGAATCGCAAATGACTGTAAGAATCATCGAGGTCTGTCAAGGTCAATGACAATTGACTTTTGAATCAAATTCCATTGAATGAAGTTTCGAGAATATCGAAAGTCAATATTCTGTTGGCATGAATAAAGTGTCGAAATACCGTTATAACGAATACATTTTTGTCTTGTTAAAGCCAAAAAACACGAACTGACTTGAGAATTGTCGTGGAATAGTTCATAAATCGAATGACCAAAGAGCCACCAATTATAAATTAATCTAATATATATTAATGAAACGAGGTGGAAAATTGCTTTCTGAATCTGATTAGACCATTACGAACGACACAAGCCACTAGAAGTAAGAATAAAAAAAAATCATTTTTTCTCCACTTACATTACACTCGTTATCACAAATCTGTCGACAAAGCACCGTAGACGAAAAGTAAGTTTCGCCGCAAACAAATTAATGAATCCACACGGTAGCGCTTCAACCGTCCAACTGAAAGGGAAAAACATGAATTGAATGATATTTATAGTTGCTGTCATGCTTAACGCTACGGTCAATCTGATGTATGTGTATGTATGAGTACTGTTTGTTTTTGGTTGGATTAGTTCCCCCGTCTGCAAACTGTATGTGATGAATTGTGTCTGAGATTTTGTTCTTCTTAAAAATGGCTTAGTTTCAGTAAATCAACAATGATTCATTGATAAAAACGGAATCGTTCAATCTAAAAATGACTACGCAAATACTTGATTAATTCCTAATTGCTTTGATTGGCTTGCTCATCGCGGTTAATGCATCGGTTGATTCAACAAAATGAATACATGGTCACATTTTATGATTGCAACATGTTTTGGAATACTTAATTCAAAGTGGATTTGGATTCAGGAAATTCGGAAAGAAAATTTTAGTTTCGTCACTATTTTTTTTATCCAAATTTTACTAGACAAATATGGACAACATTTTGTTAAAAAACATTAACCGGAGTATTCACACACATGATATGAACTCAGACGATAACTTCTTTTAGTGCGATGTTTTGACAGTATGTGATTTGTACAAAAACCAACTATTTCGCTGGGAATTCGTTCGTTTTTTTATTTAATGCCGATAAGTTTGACTGGGTTTCACTCACTTTTATGAGGAAACTGTAAAAAAATTGCACCAATCTCATGTTAGACTAAAGAAAATGTGATACATGAACTTTTTTCCACAGAAAATACGCTGAAAATTAACCACTCAATTGTTTTGAAGTGTTCGTATGTTTGACACTCTAGTCAAAAGTGTCAAAGTGGTTGACATAACCTCACTTTTCAGCGAATAACATTTTGAATTTTGGTCGTTAAAATATCCATAGAAAATGGGTATTTTGTTTGTGGAAAACTAGTTTTATTGGGAAAATGTTCGTTTTTTTCTGCAAATTTAGATGATGTTTCGTTCAACGTTTCGTTTCGAAGAGTTTACCCAGACAAATGACCTTAGAATATATAAAAGTCGTTTCTGGAAATAGAAAGTGTTGCAAATTGATGCAAAATTGACCAAATGTCAGGCAACGAAATAATTAACGCGTCTATTCTCAAAACTTCATAAGAGTTCTCTTTTGGATCTTGCTTTTGTAATTTTTTTTTCCTAAATTGAACTGAATTTAGTAAGGGCTGGAAAATTAAAATAAAGATAACTATGGCGGATTTATACCATTGATGTTTTTTGCGGTTTAAATCCAATGAAACATTTATTTGAAACAAATCAATAAACAATTACATTTTATAGATCTGTGGTGAATTTTTAGCACTACATGAAATGTAGGGCTACTAATCTGCTTATTTTTTTTCTCGGTCAAGTTTGACTACTCAAACAAATGTTGGTGAATTTGAATTATATGCTCATATTCTTTATTTGATTTAAAACCGGTGCACTAATGAAGATTTAATATATAACACTTCATATATACATAAAAGATTGACAAACAATTTTTTTATTTTTCCAAACTATATTTTATCACACATTTTATTTGTTTGTTATATATTACTTCAAAGTTACTTTGATGAAATACATTTCATGTAGTGCGCCAAAAAATAGTTTGTTGTGAAACAACAAAATAGATTAAGTAACTAAAATCTCAAGAACGCAGAGCGGAGCGAAGCGAAGCTCTGCGGTCTTGTTTTTTTTGGTCAGAAGAAACAAATAAATCGTTCAGGGATATCCCTGAATAATGAATACTGAACAGTAAATTATTTTAATTGACATTTTACTTTAAATCGGTACGAATTTTATTTCCTTTAGACCAGAATGACGTTGTTTCAAATCAACAGCTACACCTTCAAACTCTGCAGCGAGATCCAATTTTATTTGCTCAATCGAAACAGTGTTGCCTGCAGATTCTTCAAAGAAGATTTTCAATGTTTTCAACAATGGATTTTGTCGGACGAAACGTTTGAAGTTGTCGTTCAGGTCCAATTTTCTCACTGTGAATTGAATTTTTTCCAGTTGATCGAATGACAATGGAATCTTCGGCACCGGATTTACATAATTCCAGATGTAGAGTTCTTTGACACTTTTGAAGTGGATTGAACGTCCTTCCAGATTAAAAAATCCGTCATAACATGAAAGGTCGAGTATTCTGATGGACTGAAGATATCCGCTCACATTTTCCAAACACTTTATATCGAAGACAGAACCACCGATTCTTAGTTTTTGCAGATTTTGATTTAGACGTAATATATCGGTAACACCCTCTTTTTCGCACCCATATTCACGAGCAGTAGCGAAGATTTTCAAACGACGTATTTTCGGGAACCATGCGTTTAAGTCACCCAAATTGGACCGCCAAAGATGGATGGACTCGGCGTTTGCGAATGGCTTTGTCCAATTTGCTACCACTTGTTTTGTAGCATCAATCATTTCGATGTCGATCAAGGAATTAGCACAAAATTCATTCATATATCGGGCCACTTCAGCATTCCGGTCCATGTTTTTATCATGGAAATAGATGGAAAGCTTAGGGATCATGCTGCCAAAGTGACGCAACACTTTCAAAGCGCTCGACAAATCGGAGATTTCGATTGTGGCATTATCGAGTAACTTGACTGGCTGCATTCGATTTGAATTATGGTCAAGTCGAATCTTTATTTTCTTTCCTCTGCACTTGGCTTCAAATGTCGACTCGGCAGCTGGCTGGAATCGTGTGCATGTATCGGCAAGATTGATGAGATCGCGGAGCATTAAATGCTTGAAAATGTGAACGAGGCAGTCGTCGACAACATCAGTAAGCTTGGTGGTTGCATCAGCCTCTTCTTCCGGTACTTCAATCTTCTGTCGCTTGTTTTGTTCGCTGCTGTCTTCGTCATTTTCACGTTTCTGGTTCTGTTTTTTGATTTGTGAGCTCATTTCGATGGCTTCAATCAGCTTCTGTTCAAAAAGGAGAATGTTATGTATAACACCACACAATACAAGGGAAGTTGGACGGGAAAAGAGAGAAATTTTTCATTCAAAAGTAAAAAGGAATCAAAGAAAATACCGAGAATAAACTCATTAGCAATACTTTTGGCTGATTTATATAATTGTTCGATGGAAATGATAGAACTCCTTGCAATTTGTTTGCGTATGTTACAGACTACAACAACAAAATCTCACTAACCTTTTGGAAAATTACACAATAATCGCGATAATCAATGATTCGCTGTCCAAATTGTTGGTTTTGGTTATTTTTGGTAGAGAATTTCAACGATTCTATCGAAAAAAACTTTGATTGAATGAGTTTTAGCTTGGAATAAATGCAATGATCCAAATTGCTTGATATGATGAAATTCACCGCGTGCAAAAATGGCGGAATCAAAATGTAGTATACAACGATAGGACCTTTGTTAGCGCTGTTGCGAAATAATTAGCGAGCCGCACAGCTTTGTAGATGTGACCATTTCGTTTGGAGACCATTTCTAAATGTCATTCGCGGTGATTCACAATTGCCGTCGCTGTTGATTTCGGATTGACTTGATTTGCAATTAATTTGCGTGCATATGCTTATTTTCGAAACAGGCATTCGCACAATATTTTTCAGATTCGTCTAGATTTGGACAAATATTTATTATTTTTAATTTTATACAAAAAATCAAGTAATTTAAAGGAAAATTCGTTTTTTGAGAGAAAAAAATAGCGAGGCGAAAATATTTGTATGGTGATTTTCACTGAAAATGGTACAAAATCAGTATCAAAAACATTCTTGGGTATTATTCTCCACAATATATGGAGAAAAACTTTTTCGATCTGTGACAAGATGACTTATCTTCCACAATTTTTACACTGTTCATTGAAAATACATTTTGATGCATTCACACGATTTCAAAAAAACATAGTTATCTTGAGAAGTAAAAAAATTGTTAATACATTAACATCGGTTCAATAAACATTCATTTTATACATAAATGGAAAATTCTTCTTTCGAAAACTTCAATTTTTCTGCCAATTCTTCTTCTTAAAAAAAAAGAGTCAACATTCCTTTGATCACTTGGCTGAAATTGGATGTGAAAATTCAGAAGAAAAAAAACGACTGAATCCATAACAAAAAACATTTTATTACATCCTTTGTTACATGAACTCAATGAAACAAAATTTCTCTAAAGTAAAAACACTTCTTCACCTTTTCTAGCATCTAAAAAAGCGTTCTGCATCGTTAAATTGATCAATTTATTCGAGCTTCTATCCACATACCTATATTACAAGCAAGATTCCATACAAGCATGATCCATGTGATGATTCAGCCATCATTCCCATTCACTCTTAGATAGGTAATTGAAAGTTTTGCGTTCAAGTTGTTCAGCAGCGGACGGGAAATTCTCTTTATACTTCGCATACAATGAGCTAAGTCTTGGAAAATCGTCTGGTGTAACTTCCATATAATCGAATGCAATACCAGTGTTGGCATCGAGTTCCCCTTCAATATACGGAATGATATGATATCGACTGCTGAAATGTGTCAGTATCGTGTGTTTCGATTGCATCTTTCGACTTTGTTCCAATGCCATGGCAATGGTCGAATGACGATGCCTATCGGCATAGTCTTTTAATTCACTCTGGAAGGTTCCCTCGTGGATTAACAAATCGCTATTCTGTCCTAATTTCACAAATTCATCACTAGATCCAATATCTCCGCTGTAAGCCAACTTGAATCTCCCCATATCCGTGCCGTTTCTGTAAGAGAATTCTAATGCCAGCGCATAAGACTTTCTGTAATGATCCGTTGGACAAGTTCGCATTGATTCGATATTCAAATATAATCGTTCGTGGAGATTAAGCTGGTCTTTTATCTGGAAAAAAATAATGAAGAAAATCTCAATGCGATTTTTGGGAGAAATTCTAAATCAATTTTAGTTCAAAGGCTTCATTAGATTGGGATCAAGCTACAAGAAGAACATGCACCATACCAAAATATCATTATCGATGAATTTCATATCAAAATGAATCGGATCGACGTGATTTGCATAAAATAAGAGCCATGATTTCAAATCGTCCAGCGGGCAGAATATACGTAATGGTTGCCGATCCGTCGGTAGATGTATTGCACGCCATCGGAATAACTCGGGCAATCCAATATGATGGTCCAGATGCATATGCGACACATACACTGCCTTCAATCGTCGATAGATTTCGGGCGCTTCGTCACCATAGTAGCGATTTATTTGAGAACAAGTTGCCGTTCCACAGTCTAATAGAATTGAATGGTCCGGTCTGAAGTGAAAAAAAAAACGAAGCAAAATCATGCGTTTTTTTTTCAATTTTTAAAATAATTTTCTAAAGTCTCAGTAAAGTTCAATGTATTTGGACTGAAATATTTTCGGTGCACCCATTATGCATTGACTAAATTCAATTTTCAGGACAAAAAATTAATTATGATCATTCATTAACTGTAAGTCTATTCACCATTATCTACTGGATTTTTACTCTCGAAATTCAACTTACGTTAAATGCACTAAAGTACCCGATGAATTGCGCAGCGCATACGAGTCGGCTGCACCGGTGCCCAGGAATAAAATCCGTGGAAACTTCTCATCTTTCAATTTTATGGGTACCTCTTGTGTGCACAGTGGAAGAGCATCTTTAGGTGATTCGTTCAAGTCTTTCAAGATTTCTTCAAAATCAGACGATTCCTCGTCGCTTGATGTTTCTAGTTCAACGTCTTCCTTTGGCTCTCCACGCAATATGTATTTCGAATAAAGCATTGGAATTTTTCCATATTTATCGGACGATTCATCAGATGGATCGAATATTCTGGGGTTGATATCCAATTTTGTGCTAAAAAACAGAGAAAATGGATAGGACAAAAATAAAAATGAAAAAACAAATACAAAAAATTTGAATTTTCGTATTTCTTTGAAAGCAGTATTCACATTTTTAATTTTTTTTGAATATTGTCAGCACTCTTTTTCCTGTTTGGAATTTTTTTTTATAAATTTTCATATATCAACTAACCTTAGCAAAGGATGTATTTTTGGGTCAATTTTGTTCAGTCTAGTTTGTAACATGTGGACACTCTTCACGGAATCGTCTCTACGGTTAAACAATATTGATAAATAATGTTGACATTTTTTATTTGCACAGAAAATTGGCTTATTGCCAAGATTTTTCAAGACAAATCAGAAGAAAATTTAAATCATATTTTATTATTATTTATTAGAAAAGGGAATGTCATCTAAGATGAGCCATGGTATAACGGTCTACCAAAAAAAATGATCTTATCATCAGAAAATATCGTTTCAGAGCCACACACAGGGAAGAATAGTTGAGATTTTTGGTGCAATGGATTTTTTCTCGTGAAAATAATGCAAAATTAAGATATCTAAGACAAAATGTGAATAGAAGAAAATAAATTTTGTTTTAGAAATCCTAAATTTGGATTATTTTTACGAGAAAAAAAATCCATAATACAAAAAATCTAAACCATTCTTCCCTGTGGGCAATCAATAGAAATATGGGCTGAAAAAAATCATTCAAGAGAAAAAAGATTGAAGCTGTATGAAAGAAGTGTAATTTCATAACTCACTTGTTGCTATCATTAACGATTAAATTCCTCTTCGGGTTGACACGTTCAATAAAATCTTGATAGCGCATAGTATTGAAAACTTTGCTTGGCGTAAAATGAACGATGACCTCAACTCCCGTTGCTTTAATCTTTTCCAGTTGACTTTTCAATTTTGCATTGATCGCCAATTCCTTGAGAAATCCTTTATTTGGTATATCAACCACTGATTCGAAAGAGAAAACACAATTTAAAAAAAATTCGTATGACAAAAATTCTCATGAAAAATTTTCCATGGAAAAAATTCCATTAATTATTTTTGAAATAGGAGTCAATAGTGGCGGATAACCTAATAAAATGGGCTATTTTAAATTGCGAAGGACGCAACCCAATTGAAAGTAGAACATTTTTGAATGAACATTTTTTTTCCATCTAAATAAAACCCACCTATGAAATACAAATCAGGCCAATCCTGATTCATCACATCTGCTTTGGTAACCACTGAGCCATCTTCAAGCGTGACATCTTCTCCGCGAAACAGATTTGCCACCAAATGAGCGGGAACATTTTTCTGCAGTGATTTTTTCAACGAAAACCTTCCTGGGCATGCTTTCAATTTGCACACATAAATAATGGCCGTATCTTTGAGATGTTTCAATTCCACTGGTTCAATGACGATTTTGTTGTCTTCGAATCGTTCATTTTTGAACAATTGATCAGTGAAGCGATGTTTAAAAATGCCTCCAATGACCGATAGGAAGGACATTCGCTGGAAAATTTTCTGCAAATTATTTGGGCCATTGAATGTTGGTGGAAAGCCGGTGCTAGCAACAGTCGAAAACATCACACTCGTTACGCCACCAATACACCCCCATTTGGATTGCGTGAAAAAAGCATGTGAAATCTTTGCTAAGGATAGTCCAACCAGTTGGCTCATGCGCCCAATCCCTTCACCGCAATTGAATAAATATCGTTTGTCCACACAGTGGAGATACACTGATGCCGGCTGACTCGGCGCACCTGATCCCAACACTTGCAAATGAGCTCTTGTCCCATGTTGCGTTGACTCTCTTTGTGGTTTTACGTACTTTTTGCGATTGGACACTTGCAATGTTCGAACTATGATTTGTGAGGATTTCAAACATTTTGAACAACAATTTAGTTTTCTCAGGCAAAACATCGCTTTCACATTATTTTTTGGCTATTATAAACACAACAAATATTGTGGTTTGGACTAGACAAATGTGACAGCTCATGTTTTGACGTTTCACACACACGTGCGCTGAATGGCAATCGCTGAATTTCAACAACTGTCAAACTGTTCTACAGACACAGTGGAACGACGATAAAACGAACGATGCTATTTAGATGGATATTTGAACGGGAATTTTTTTTTTTTTGAAATTTTTATTTTTCACAATTTTGGAAGAATTTTTCTACAAAAAAGATTAAATGGAATTTTTTTCTAATGAATTTTTGATGAAGAATAAATGCCTGAATTTTTTTTCCCTGAATGTCCAATTGAGTAGGAAATTAGGTTGAAATATCATTTTCCTCATGAGAAAGAAATTTTTTTTAAAATGAAAAACAGAAGTTTTTAGCAGATAATTTGGAATGGAAAAATTGAGACAAGAGAAAAAACAAAAATAAAAGGAAGATAAATAAAGACTTGAATCAAAATTGTAAAAAAAAATTAATTGAGAAAAACCCTGAAAATTCAAAAAAAGAAATGAAAACAACCACCTCTTCACATTTGAATTGTATTTTCTTTAATAAATTTCTGAATCAAAAGTACATTTTTCATTCAGTTTGTCTGTTCAACTTCCCATTGTCTGTAAACGGTCTAATTTGCAACCAAAAAAAAAAACAAATCCGATGAACTTCGAAAAAAGGTTGTCTATCGAAAAAAGTGTACAGAATTTTCGTTTTAATCTAAAATGCTAATTGTCGTGGTCTTTCGACTGTACCAAAAAGGATGAGTGAGAAAAATGTCCATATCAATGCTAAACTCACGAATGGATTAGCTACAAAAATTTTGGTTACTTTATGTTTTGAATTCAGTTTTACTTTTCCGCATGCCCATGGGACAGTATCCCATTGAGCCACCCATGAAGCGTGCGTGAAATTATTTTCTCTTTCATTCCTGCAGGTGCACGAAACCAAGTCAATATGTTTTTCGATCAGAGCGTCAGATAAATCAGACAATATAATAATTTAATAGAGAAAAACAATTGAAAATACCAATTCACAATTTGTTGTAATATAATCCAATGTAAAAATTACACAATAAATCTTTGCTTATATAAAATATTCCATAGTAGTCACTTCAGCTATTTGTTGCTGGTTTGCTTTCTTTATTCTCTCGTTTTTTTTCCTATCATTTCTTAACACAATTTTACACATTCAACAAGAAAGAAATTAAAGAGGGAAAGAAGTCGATCGGTTGCGTCGACTGAATTGGTCACATTCGCATGAAGCTCACTGAAGTGATGTCCGTGCCGCTGGGCCGCGCTCGATTGACACAAAATTAAATCAATAAATTTGTTTTCATTTCGTTTTTTTTTTATTTACAAAATCGAAAAAATTGGAAGAAAAATGGTCTCTTCACATATTTTTTTTCTCGTTTCTCTTGCTCTCTATCGAATGCTGTTCCCTCGGACGAGTGGATCTCGGGCTTCTGTGTTGAGCGACCTGGATATTCACAGATGAGTTTTTTTTTCAGATCTGAGAATAAGTGTCTGTCGCATGTTATGTGTATTGAGTGCATCATGAGATCATTAATGTTCTTTTAATTTTTTCAATAGATTTTTTTTTGTCTGTACTCTTTAGCATTTGTCATGGAGATGAGCAAAATGCCATCAGCTTCACTAACAATCTCGTTTTTTTTTATCTACAGCCTAAATGCCAAAGTGTTTGCGCCATTTTGGTATTTCATTCAGATTCGATTTTCATCTATTTCTGGCTAAAAATCTAATTTTTTTTCTTTAAATTTTCCTATTGCTGCTATTTTCGTTAGATTTGATATATAAGTTGATGTGTGAGTTGTGTGTTAAATTGAATATTGCTAAAGACGGGGGAATATTTTTTGTTTTTGTTTTGGTCGGAGCGATATGGAATATGCTCGTGTCGTTGATGGATTCGGTTTTGGGTTCAGTAATGGCGATGATGTTATGAGATACACCGAACCCATTAATCAAATGGTATTCCAGGTGAATACATCTTTTCATAAAATATCGGACTAAATATTCGGATATTTAATATTATATGACAAAAATGACGATTGAAACTGTCGAGAGGAATAGTTTGAACGAATAAAAAAAAACACGATTACAATTTTAAATACAAATCGCTAGCACGTAGGATTACGTGTGCTCGAGTTTTATAAGTTATTGAATGGTTGATTGTTTTTTTTTTCTTTTCAATCTTTAAACACAGAAGGAATCTGTGATTTTTTTTTATCAGTTATATTGAAGTAAATTTTTGCGTTTTTATTTGACGATTTTTTTTTTCTTTTTGAAGTTTCTTTTTTTCTCTGCTTAATTGTTCCTATTTGCTATTTTCGTTTAAATTTATTCGTGGTGCTGATGGCTGCAGCGAATGTGTTTAAGTTCCGGCTATAGATAGTTTTGGTTGGCTCTTCCAATCGATTGGGCTTGTTGGTTTATTGGTTGCAATTCACTATTTGCGTTGTAATTTCTTTGTACGGAACCAGAAATACCATTTCAATCATCACTTTAACTGCGAATTTTTGGCAAAAGAGAGAGAGAGAGAAAAAAATCGATTAATTTAAATTTATTGCAATAAAAACAAATGTAAAGTCATAACTTATTATATAGTTATTTATAAAAAAAAATGATAATTCATCAATTCATCAATTTAATTGGGATAATTTTCAGATTGGATAGAAAAAATGGTGTTGTCCAGATCTATTGTTTTAATCTATTTTTGACAACAACAAAAATCAATACATTTTCCCGAAAAAAAATAAAAAAGAATTCAGTTTTTTTTTACCAAGAAAGAAGAAAAAACCATAAAAAAAACCAAAATTGTCTCTACCTTGGGCAAATAAATCAGATTGAGGATCGTCCATAAATCGAGTAGATCGTTGATTTTTTTTTCTTCATTGGATTACTTAGAAATTAGATACGGTTGTCGCCGTTAGTGCTCCATTAGAGCAGCTGAAACATGGAATAAAGAATATGGTTACGCTTCGTTGCTTTGAATGAATCGGTCGGAAAATTCTGACTCAAAATACGGAAACACTTACGTGATGGCGATCGTCTAGCTTCGACCGCACGTTCAGGTGGTGTGTAGTTCAAAAAGTCCCATATCAGAATGGTGTCGTCATGTGAACTGCTCACAATTTGAAATTCATCAAATTGTAAACGAAACACTCGTCCGGTATGTTCCTGTTGGAATTTGAAAAAAGAAAAAATTCGTTTGAATAAATTTTTTAAAAATTGAAAATACAATATTTTCGTTCAATTCAACAAATCAAAGTTCAAATTTCCATTCAACTGTTGACTCAACAGTGTTGGGTGTAATGGGAAAATGAATATATTCAAATGAAAAAAAAATCCACTCAGTGGATGATTCACTGCATGAAAGTGTTTATGTGATAAAATAAATTTTGGTATAAAAACTGAAATTCTGTGTTGACTTTGCCAAGCATTTTTGATGCAAACCATGGATAAATTGAATTTTTTGAAGATAAAAATAACCAATGACTCAATCAACGATAAAGTAAAGCGATATGAGGGTCAATTACCTCTAACGTTTTCAAACACAAAGCGCTGGCTGGAGCACGTGGATCTAAAGCCGCAACGAGATCCCAAACTTTGATTTTGCCATCATATGCTCCACTCACAATACGCTTTGAATCGAATCGAATGCATCGGACGAGCTCTTCGTGGCCTTCGAGCACACGCAAACACGCACCACATTCAATGTCCCACAGGCTGCAAGCAAAAAAACAATCGTTTAATATTGAATTGGGTTGATAGAATCATGTGCAAAATTGGATAAAGATAGATTTTCAACGGGTTCAGAAGAATCTGAGATTTTCTTTAGAAGAATCGAGCTAATATAAAATTGCTGAGTCAGCCTGAGTAACTGACACGATCGTATTCATTGTAAAATGCCCTACCGAATTGAATTATCTGAGCTGCCGCTAACAACCAAGCGATCACGGTACTGTAGACAGGCGATGCCTCTTTTGTGGCCGTTCAATGTGCGAACAAATTCGCAGTTCGATGTATTCCAGACTTTGATTGTTCGATCACCCGATGCCGAGACAATGTACTTTTCATCGAAGTCAACGACATTGACCGCGGCTCGATGGCCAACCAACACTCGTCGCAATGTGATTTCATTTGGCGATGTCATGTCCCACACAGCGATTGAGCGATCCTATATGAAAAAAGCGCATTTCGTTAGAAATTGTTCATTGAATAAATTGATTTATTGTCGATTAAAGTTTAACATTTTGCTTCAGAAGGTGGGTTGAATGGGCCAACTTTGTCCAATTAACACTACAATTCAACCGTATTTACCTTTGAACAAGTGACCATCATGCCGTTGTTGAAGCGTAAATGCAGCACAGCCTCGCAATGGTGGATTAATGTGTTGACCATGTCACCGGTGATCACATCCCATACGCGTACGGTTGAATCGCTTGAGCCACTAATAATAACCTTATCATCATACTGCAAACAAAGCACGGAGCCCGTGTGTCCGGTCAATGTTTTTATGCATTTCAAATCGCTACGATCCCAAATTTTGATTGTGTTATCCCGTAGGCCGGACACAATTTTATTCTCGTCATATTGCAAGCAATAGACACCTTTTGAGTTTTCTGAGCGGCAATTGATTCGTTTAAGCATGTGTTGACCGTTGCGCCAGTTGTTTTCTATGCTTTCGATATCGTTCATGATTTTCGGATAAAGCGATCGATAGAATGAATGTGGCGGATGTGTTGTGCCGGGCCGTGGTTTAAATAAATATTGAATCCATTCGCGACGCTCGGATAAACCTCGCCACAGTAAATCGGTTCGCACTTTTCGTTCAATCAATTTTTTCCATAGCATTCCCTCGGAAATCACACGCAACCATTCTTTACACACTAATTCGGCCGCTTTTAACGAATCCGCATCCAAATAGGAGAGAATACTTTCCGCAATGTGATCCAATCCTTTTTCTATAAAATAACATAATGAGTCAGATTAGGTTTGCTGATTGAGAATATTCGATTAGGTTTGCTTATGGAAATTTCTTTCGAAATTGCGATCAATGAAGGGTTTCGATTGAATTTTGGAAAAACCAATTATTGAAATTCATAACTCGAAATCATAACTTGAATTCATAGCTCGAATTCTGACTGAATTCAGCAGCTACTCAACTCAAAAATCTAGCTCAATTTGCAATGATAACACCCAACTCGAGGAATTCTTCTTTCTTCACAGAAAGAAAAATCATTTCCAACATTCAATCGAATTTCGAAACAAATGCATTCAAAATGTCCAACTTACTCGGCAGCAATGAGATAAAGTCTCTTTGTAGCATTGGTTTCAGGTATGCATTTATGTGACCATGTTGATAGTGACACATTCGAGCTAATAGCTGTTCAACGAAATCCACCTGATCCGATTCATTCCAATTGTTGAAGAATTCTAAGCATGAATCGCGCTCCGTTTGAAACATTGGCGATGGCTCCTTTTTCACGCGTCCCGGTTCATATAGTGATGTGAACTGCAGAGAAAAGAATCGAAACAAAAAGATTAGAAAAACAGATTCATTACAGAGTTTGTTTGCAAAAATGTCTTGAAAATTAATTTTATCTGGAATCATGAAGAAAAATTCCATGCAAAAATGTTATTGAACAGGATTGTTTTTTGTTTATTCCACTCAAAAATACACAAGCGCATATTCCCATGATGACATATCAATTCAAAAACCGTAGCACGATATCATCGTCATTACAATTTATTTCACTTCACGTTGAGTCATATGAAAACGCTAAAAAAAATACACACATCGACCCGTTTTCACGACCATCATTTTATTAGTCTATAAATTCCACACACACACACACACACACATAGTTCCCTCGCTTTCATTAATTCATACGGATCTGTATCAGCATTATTAAATTAACATCAAATGAACGTTCCGCGCGATAAAAACAAACATAAAACCGCGTCGATTGATTAAAACCTTTCACAAGTGAAATGTGGTTGTTGATGACGCTGTCTATGCGAGTGCAATTTTTGTTGTTGTTCACGAATGGAGTGCCATGAACCGCATCGAATATAGTGGATTTTTGCATAACATGTCATCGAGGTTGTGATATATAGAACTCATCACATGTTTTGGCAGAGAGTCCCCTGTGTGAACTCACCATGAAGCAAATTTACCATGATGAAGCAGCAGCGGTTGCCTTTACAAATGGTTCATTTCAATAGATATGTTACATTTTTGCGTACGATTTGGTTATACAATGTCCGCATGTTTGCATCATCATTGCAATATATTGTGCAATTTTATTTCCGCGTATCAAAGCGATGGAGCACGCGGTGTATCGTTTTCTCTATCTTTCTGTGGGTTTTTATATATGTTTTTTTTCTCTCGCACTCTCACTCTGTCCTTGTCTATATATCTGTAGCACCCTCTTTTATCTCTATCAATAAAAACAGCTCCCCAAATCTCAGTCACCCTCAATCGCTACATATTGTTCTCTATCTTTCTCTCTCCCTTTCTTGGTTTTTCCATACTCTCCTTCTCTATCGCTCTTTGTCATTCATACTCTTCTTCTCTCTTTTACTATTGCTCTTTTTATTGCCCTCTATCGCTCACTTTTTTCCCTCCCACATCGAGCGTGTTTATTCAATCGCAGGCATTTTTTCGCAGATGCACTTGTGTGCACCACAGTTGCATCATTATTAATCAAAGCGACATGTTTAATTAAACCGTTTGCCCATTTGGTTCGTCCATTGATGTCTAATCAGATCGCATGGGGGGGAATTGAATGGAACGGATATGCGGTTGGAAGCCTCTCTTTGGTCATAATTTAATTGGCACTTTTCGATCACACTTGCACGTAACACACATTCACATGAACAATGAAACCATATCGCTGCAATCAATTATTCAAAATTTTCAATTTAATTAACCGATGAGCAACCAGATATGGTCTTTTGATATAAATCAATGCGAAAATAATTGATTTGGTTTCATAATAGATTTTATGATGAATTTTCACTGAAAAAAAGTCAATTTTGTAACAACTTTATGGTGGGGACTCTTCATCGAGTCCTAATGAATAAGTAATTATTCATTTTGGCCTGTATTTTGTTTTTCCCTTGACATTTAAGCACGAAACTTTCATTTCGATTACATCGAAGAAAAGCTTTCACGAAGAGAAATGAAGAGAGAGATGGAGCGAAACCAATTCATGAACTTTCAGTGAATCAAAATTTCTTTCAATAGGTCGGTCGCCCACGATTTTCATGGAAAGTAAAATCTATTCACAACATGAGTGTTGTTATGGCCTCAGCTTCGTTGAATATTGGAACTATTCACAACATGAATTTAATGAAAAGCCATCCAAATGAAGCGTGCATAATTCAAGTTGACGGTGGTCACTTGGAAAATAAGATGAAAGTACCGATCCTGAAACGTGTTTGACCAAAGAAAATCGTACGCTGCAATATATTGCGATGAGCCTACAAAGACGTTAACCTTCGACTTTCTTGCGGTTTCTTTTTGTCGTCGACTTTTTTGTGTTATCATTTTTCCATTGTTGTCAACTTTTTTTTCTCTCACTCGTTGTTAATTTGTTGTTGTTGTCATTTTGTCATTGTTCATTGCGGCAAAATGCTAAAAATAGCGATTTTCGTGCTGGGATTGAACTGAAATCGTTACAAGTTATTGACCGATTAAAATGTCATACCTTTTTGCAATGGCAACGTCGTTATTTATGGCGTTTTAATTAACCGCACCGTCAACGAATGCGTGGGTTCACCATAATAATGACACCAAAAACGAACCACAGTTTGTTGTGTAACAGTTTTTGCGTGCGTGTCTTTTTTTTGGAGCGTTCCCGGAACATTTTGATTAGAATTTATGGAATCATGCTCATGCTGTTTATTTTTTGCCCAAAACAAGCTTGATGGAGGAGAAAACGAATTAAAACAGCCGAATTTCCACATTTTATTAAATTTTTATGTGATTTTTATTATGTATCCCGCGTTGTCGACTTTGATTCAATCGGATAAAAATTTTAATGAAATTTTCTCTCACACTCTCTACACACCTAACTCCCCTTCTTTCTCTCTCTCTCTCTCGTCTGCCTCTTTCTTTCTTGCGAACGGTTTTTCATGGTAGTTTCAATCGAAAATCCATTGTATCCATTGAAAAACCATCGATTCTATTCAAAAGTAATGGAATGGGCGAAAAGAATTTCATTAATCAAAATTTTATTGATTTTTTCAATGGAATGCCAAGTATTTAGTTCATTTTTAGATTTGTTGCTTTCTTCTTCTGTTTTTTTCTTCACCATTTCCCTTTTAATTGTTGGCTTTAATTTTCCATTCGTTGAATGGAAAACTTTTCACATTTCCAATTACACACATTTTTGTTTAAAAAACCGAATCGAGATAGGAGAAGAAATAAAAACAAGGTCGAAAAAGCGAAGTGGCTGAAGAGAAATCTACAACTAGTAATTGAGTTCAAAATGCTTTATTTGACAGAGACGGTTAACTATCGGTTTGGATGTGAACATGAAACGAACCAAATAATTATGTTCGTTATATGTAAACTGAAGTAAACGGGCTACTGGCAAAGTTTTGCTTCGTGTGAAGAGAATGGAGTGAGCGGATGGATGGATTTGTAATATGTGTGTTAAAAAGTTAAATACACTTTTCAACATCAATTTGAAGCCGATGACGTCAAGTCCGAATTTCCATTCAGAATGTTCAATTTTAAGGTAAAACAATCACTTATAAATAAAAAACGAAATTGAAAGTAGTTGTCTCGCTCTCTATCCATGGATAGATGGATTGTAGCTGCAGCTACTCTTTGTTAACAATTTCAATTTCAGGCTAAACTTTTCAACAACGACAATGACGACGTCAACCGCGACGGCGAGTTTTGTGCTGTTAATAGAGTTAGTTGTTCTGTTGTTTACTAGCAGCAGTGGCTGCCGCAGTAGCAACAACACGACATGCCAAACAAGTTTGACTAGAGTAAAGTTGAGCACGGTGTGAAAAGCTGTATCGTACACGAAAAAAAAAACAAACAAGTCACCTCAAGCTTCGACTCAAAGCCATCGAGTAGTAGAGAAAACAACAACAATTCAATCAAAAAGTTGAATTTTCAGCTTCTAATGGAAGTAGAATTACTTTAATGACGTCGCTAAATTCAATAAAATTTCAATGAAATAAATTCTCTTGTCCGATTTTCAATTTGATGTTCTGAACATGCATTATTTTAATGGGCAGCTCTTGCCCATTTGGGCAGTTCTAAATCCCAAATGGGCAGCTCAAAACTCAAAAATTGGCAGTTTTACTTAAATTTTCTTGAAAATGGGCAGCTCCAAAAATTTCTTAAAATAATGCATGGTTCTGAACGAAATTCGGATACATTGGATTTTTTGATTATCAGACGATTTGAGAAGATTATTCAGAGTGAGAATGGAAGACTTTTCCATTGAAAGAGAGTGAAAGAGAAGGAGAAAGAGAAAGAGAAAAAGAGGAAAAGAGAAAGAAATAGAGAGCAAAGGAGAGCTATAGACTCCCAGTAGAGAGTGAGACTGGGACAGCGACAGTGATTGCAATTCACAGATAACTCTAAAGTGAATAAATGACTCAATCGCGCAACTTTTTTTTCAATCACTTTTATTGACAACAAAGGGAGCGTTGACCAAAAATAGATCAAAGAATACAGTACGGATTTCATTGATGTCAGACTGAGTGTGTTTTTTATGTATGAGAAAGAGCGTTTTTTGTTAGTTCAAAATTGAGAAAGAGTGAGAAAGAGAGATAGAGAGTGGATTTAATTGGGGTTTCGTTCGTGATCATTTGAATAGCGATAAAAACATGCGCTTCAAAGGGAATGAATATGAACAAAGGAGGATTTCCTTTGTGCAAAAATGCTATACAAGAGATAGCCAAAGGATATACATTGCCACACTCATTTGGTTACTTGGAAATTGCAGCGTATTGCTTTTTCATTTCCACAAAGAGATTCGAGCAAATGCCAACAAATGCAAGCAAAGGTTTGTAGTTGCAAAAGAATGTTTGTTGCTATTTGTGTCATTTTTTTATTTTGCGTAGGAACAGTTTCCATTATTCTCCGAATTAAAGTACACTTGATCTCCTGTAATTCTCACTTGAATCAAACCAATAGCAAATCGCCTTGAAGATCACATCGTGCAACGAAGCACAGACATGTATTCCCTGCACATAAAGACCGTTCTATTACACAGTGAATAGACTCGTTCTATCAACACATAGACCCGTATTTCTTGTGAAATAAAACACATAGAGACGCTTTTTTTTAATGGCATTTCATTTGATAAGAGATGTGAGGGCAAGAAAATGCGTTCAACAGCTAAAAATATTCACAGCGCATCGCATTCAAAAACGGTATATCAGTCGAATGAGTAAACAGAAAGCAGTAAACGATTTTGATTAGAGTACGGTCAAGTGCGATTTCAATTGTTAATCGTAGACACGCCAAGTTGATCTCAT